CCCCAAAACCCCAAAACCCCAAAACCCCAAAACCCCAAAACCCCAAAACCCCAAAACCCCAAATAGTTTACACATCATTGAAATTTAACAGACCAGGTGAAGGGAATTTAATCTCTGAATCATCACTGTTCCCATACCCAGATGTATTAATTTTAATGGTGTTATCCACCCTGGGCTTGAAACTGTGAGATAAAGAATCTTCTACTTGATAATCTAACTCTTTCATGCCATCTTTAGAAGAATCATAATCCTGAACAAGCATTTTGTTCCTCATTTCTCTATTTATTGTCGACTTTTTCCCAGAGGTAAATCGTAAAGGTTTGGCTTTAGCCTTTCTCATCCGATTAAGAGACCCTGAGATATCAATTTTCCTATTATTATTCATGTTATTTCTCAATGTCTCCAATTAAAGTCAGTCTATCCTTCTGTAGCGTTCTAATTCTACTGATGCTTGTGTCCTTTGCGTCTCCTATAAACCTGATAGCACTTATTTACCTGCTGAAATGATGTCAGTTTCTCCTTCGAAATCAAGGACATCATCAAGCCCATGGTTGCTGTTCTCAAGCATTGAAGTATCAATGTTCTCATAATACGGAACAGCTGTATTCCTGCTAATGTATGAGGTAGTATTGGTCACATTAATAGGATGGGTGTTATACCCCTTTGTGTCAAAATCGATCCTAATATCCTCTGCTGCACTCTTAATTTTTGGCAGTGGAGGTGTTTTATAAGTCATATCATTCCTGAGAATCGAATTAACGATTTCCTCTCTAAAATGTTAAATTGATGGACTACCTCTCAGCAAGATTAATCTTCTCCCTGTTTAGCCTTTCTACTTCAAGCTGGAGTTTATCTTTCTCTTCTCTTTCTCTTTGAGCAATGTTCTTCAGATCTCTCAAGTGCTTAGCCATATTAGTTTGTTTTGAGTCAATCTCTAGTTTTATCTCTCTCATATTTTCATGGAATACTCTCTTAAGTTCGGTCTGAGAGTTCTGGAACTTTAGCTCAAGTAATCTCTGGAGTTCTCCTACCCGGACATCTTGAGGGAAATGGTCAAAGTATTTCTTAGAATTCCTCTTGGCTTGCCAGTATTCATCATCAAAAGCATTAGCTTTAGGCTCTTTCACAATAACATTGCTCAAAAATCCCACCTTCTTGCTCCGGGGAAGAGTGTCTTCATAATTAGGAAGGTTCTTTTGGCGCCTAAATGCATGCCTTGCATCATTTTCAAGGAATTGTTTCCTAGAGATCTCGTCTTGCTCTCTCATGATTCTGGAATCTTCATCAGCTTCTTCCTTGAGCTTTCTGATACGCTCTTCTTCATCTTTGATCTTATTTTTCATACATCTGTTTTTGAAGGAATTGGTTTAGAAGAGCTTTTTCTTCTTGCTTGTATTTTGCACTAACATCGAAATTCTGAGGAGTTTCTAAATTTTATTAGGCTGAAGTACCGATATGGCCAGGCTCACCCTCTCTAGGCTTAGAGATAGTCGCTGCAGACTCGAATGAACTATTGACAGCCAGCTCTTTACTATTGTTCAGAGCTGAATAGTCTGTTTCACCTGTTCCAGGAATATTAGACGGCGGTGAAGCATAAGTCTGAGGTGATGACGACACCATCGGAGCTCGAGGAGGTTTCTGAGGGGTAAACGAAGCATAAGGATTTGATGGATCTATAGTGTTCATCGGCATTGTTTGTGCCATATTCTGGTTCATAGGAGCATTTATCATTGTATTCTGTCCCATAGGAGCCGATTGCATTAAGTTCTGATTCATCTGATATCCCATAGGCACAGGATTAAAGTTCTGAGGAGTGAATGCGTTATAACCTCCTCCTGTAGGAAACTGAGGTCCAGTATTAAGATTATTATACATTTCAGGCATCAATGGAGGTGGATTCACCTCTCCAGCTGAAGAATTATTTTGCTCTCTAAAATTAACTGTCGCATTCATATTATTGTTCTGAGAAAACCTTCTGTCAAATGAATTTTGATTTTTCATATTAGGAACTTCTAAAGTATTATAAGCATGGCCAATAGATAAATTAGAATTAGCACCTTGGCTTCCTCTCTTCAAAGATGATCGAGAAAGAGGAACATTTGGCCTAATGCCAGCTCCTAAAGATCTTATGGGGGTTGCTGACTGGTTCCAATTGCGAGCTCCTTGCCTTGAGTTTGCATTTGGTAGATTCTTACTGACATATGAAGAGTAATCAGCTCTCAATTTCTGTAACTTTGGTATGGTATTTCCTTCTCCAATCAAAGGGTTTGATCTCATATTTATTTATAAAATTCAATTCGTAGTTATCTTTTAGGGGTTTTGGGGTTTTGGGGTTTTGGGGTTTTGGGG